AGTGATGTACCATCAGTCTTGGCCAGGAAGATTGTCTTTTTGTGAAGAAAAATGAAAGCTAACCTACTCAATGTATTTAGTGAAGCAGATGATTTCCATTCTGGCTACGTGTTCTCTTTCCCCACACGGATACCTAATTGCCTTATTTTAGGACCACTCTTAGACTAGCTCCTCTAGGAGTCTGTGTGCTAGGAGTTAGGAATGGGCCACTTGGGGGAGCCTCCTTTCTTTGTGTTGGACCTTATTTTTTATCATTTAAAAGCAATCTGACAAAATGTTAGGGAAAAATTGAGAGTTTGTCAAACTGATTTCACATTCTTTGCATCCCTGTCAAATGCAGTAACTCAGGATATGCTACATGGCCTTCAGTCATGTGCTTGGAGATGAGCATCTTCCACAGCCTGAATGACCCTGAGCTGGGAAATGTCATTTTCATCACCAAGAGCAGTGGAGATGATGGCAGCCGATTACACTGCCCCTTGGCAGGGACTCTTAATCTTCTTTTTGTATTGTGGACTCCTTAGGTTAACAGTGACATCTATGGATTATTTCCCAGAATGATATTTTTAAGGATATAATATAAAGTCTGTAAGATTACAAAGGAAACTAATTAGCTTAAAATACACTTATCAAAATGTTATGATAATAGGGCTGGGGATGTGGCTCAAGTGGTAGCGCGCTCTCCTGGCATGCGTGCGGCTTGGGTTCGATCCTCAGCACCACATACAAACAAAGATGTTGTGTCTGCCGAAAACTAAAAAATAAATATTAAAATTCTCTCTCTCTCTCTTATAAAAAAAAGTTATGATAATAACATGCACTTAATTAATAGCCAAACAATAAGATCTAATATCAAGTCTAAGAACTATAATAATTTTAAATAAGTAATAAACATTAATGAAAATTTGTATATACACAGCAACTCTAATTGACTAATAAAATCTATGGTTTCTTACTCAACAAGGTCACAGATACTGCTAACACTACTGAGGCATGTTGGTTACATTATCATAGAAGGAAATGCCAGAATTTCACTTACAGATTAATGGAAACAAATATGTCTTTTTTTTACTTATCCAAGTTCAAGGTCCACCTGTATTGTCCAGTTAAAAATATTTGCTTTAGGAATACCAAACAAGGGAAAAGAGAGAATTCTGAACCTTTTAATTACTTTTCCTAAGACCAATATTTTGGGCTCACAATAAAATCCAATTACATTTCAGTACCCGGTGAAATTATATTATAATTTTTTTTGCATTATTTGAAATGCAAAGTAGTAAATTTTCTCCTCATATCTTTTTGGAAACCTACATTTTACAAAGGACTTAAAGTGCCTTGGGCAGAGAGTTTGCATAAGATACTCATTTCATGAAGTGCAGTTAAATCCCAGACCATTTCAGGAAAAGTTCTTGCTTACAAAGATGCTCATAATCTTTCCAATGAGGAGAAAAATTGTTATGTGAAGAAACTAGAAGGTTTGGGACCCCTTTTTGGATATGTTCTTGAAAAGTTCCACACAGAGTCTAAAAGAGAGATTCATGGATAAGCAATGGCCTCTTAGGAGGCAGAGAGCCAAAGTTTGAAGTTGAAAGATTCAGATAAGTAAGAGGTGGAGAGATGCTAATGGGTGCAGTGAAGTCAGGTAGCTGTTAGCCCAAGTGTAAGTATGTGCAGTGATGAGCTCAGGCAGGTAGGGTATAGAACACTTTGATAGACATTGGCTAATATACACCAATGATGGTGGGATATTATTGGCAAAGAGGAATTATTGCAGTCTTTTAATAGGAAGACAAATAAATTTCTGTTTCAGGAATGTTAACATGACCAGAATGTATTTGATGAATTAGGGGCAGGAAGAAAGTGTGGACAATAGTTTTAGGATCAAATGGCAAGACTGGGTAGATAAAATTATACTTACTTTCCCTATCCTAATGTTTCCCATAACTACCTAAAGATGGAATTTGCCTGGAGAGCCTATAATGATACAGATTACCCCTGAAAATGATAGCCCAAGTAAGTCTGGGATTCATCAAGGAAATTATGATTTTTAAAACATCTTCATATGATTTTATCTTCTAACAGTTTGAAAAATACTTAACAGGAATGTTTGATCAGATCTGAAAACTTGCATGTGGTAGTGTCAAAGTAAAAATTACTCTGGACAAAGTATAATTTTTAAATAGGCAAGGAAGACTATTCGAAGCTGTCATAATAAAGGACTGAGACCAGAACTCAGTATGAACTTAACTCCACTGAAACAAAGGGTGGTGGGTTCTCAAGGGCTGAGATCAACTACTGGAAAAGAAATGGAAGACAGAAAGGGGTTTATTGGACAATGGGATGCATCAAGTACATTGTATTATTTTGTAAATGTCTTTGTGACTAGGTTACTTGTGTTTGCTAATTAGTACCTAGTCAAAATTAGACTCCCATCCTCTGATGGAGACAGGGGAGAAAGGGACACTATCTTCCTTGATTCAATTTCAAAGGGATAGTTTCCAGGTACTTGAGAAAGACAGACATGGGTTATAAAATGACAGAAAATGGGAGAAGATTTACAATCCAAAGGGAAAAAGAAAGAGTTCATAATTGCACATTTTCTTAAGTAAATGCTTCTAAAGGAAAGAGAGGTCAGGGTTCTATTATCAGGAAGAAATCTGTCTAAAATTTAGTGAAGCTGAGGTCACCTTAGTCAAGGGTAATGTAATGCCACTACTACCACTGCTGCTGCTGCTACTATTATCATCAGGGTAGACTACTCAATAGAGACTGGAAAGGAAGAACTAGTGTTAGGACTATCAGAAAAGAAATATCAACATTCCTTCCTAACCTAATGTTGGGAATTAGAAAGTGGGATACAGAGGTTACAGACAAAGGTGTTGACCCTTGACTCAAAGAGAATGAGGTCCAGTGATAGAAATGGAATTTCCAGCTGTCTAGGAGAGATGTGATGCCAAATGACCCATGTCAACATAGTAGAGCATAACTCTTAGGTTCCTTTGGGAGAAATAGCACCTGGTAGTCGGCATGGTAGCTGATGGTAAGTAGGGAGAATGGCAGGGCTTGTGGAGACCTCTGGAGCATGGTGTTTCCTGATAGAGCACAGCAGACGAACACTGCACTATGCATTCAGCATCAGCAATGTGTGGGCTATACCTCAGTCACACAGAAGTCACACACACACACACACACACACACACACACACACACACACACACACCCTGCATATATATTGAATATGGTATGTATACTGAAGCGTTTTGAAGCAAACCACAGGCATTTTAGCAACTGGGTATTATGAAAACCCCTCACCTCCCATTTAGCCCAAATTACACAGGAAATTTGTCAGAAAACTTGTTGGAGGGGGTCAAGGCTTTTAAAGGTAGCCTGGGAATGATGACTGAAGAGGTGACAGCTGAAACCCTGGGAGGAGATGAGATTTTCAAAAAGTTACTGGGGATATATGACATTAATGTTTTTGCTTCTTTTCAGTTACTTTTTTTAGTGATCGGAAATGACTGAGAAATCAGATAAAAATAATTCCACTCGAGAGAGACCCACAGATCGAAGTTCTCCAGAGAAAAACTGTCAAATTGGACAGAAGCAATTGGTATGATACATGGATTTTATGATTCCATATTGTTTGGTGAGTTCCAAACTTGGGGATCTCTGAGATGCTGGTGGACTTAGTGCAAAGGTGGGTTCAGTCAGAACTCCACCAGATGGGTCTCTGTGCCAGCTGTTGGACTGGTTTCACCTGACATGTCCTCTTTGCCTCTCATGTTCCTTCATTTTTATTCCAATGTTCTTTGTATGCAATAAAATCTCACCCTCAGAGTAGACTACTTGAAAAAAATATATACTCAAGTGTTTTAATTGAACAAACCTCTATTTTGGTCTCATTGTGTCATGGTTCTAAACTTTGTATATATTGACTCATCTAATTCTTATCACAAGATAGTACTGTTGGCCCCATTTTACAAAATGGGAAACTGAGGCTTAGTGAAGTAGGAACTTGCTCAAGGCACACCACGGGCAAGCAGCAGAGCTTGCAAGAGCTAAGCACCTAGTACCTAGAAAGTACTAGGTGTTACCTATTTCGTAGCTGTACCTAAGTGCAGAGCTGTTACATAAGCTCATATCTGTAAAACAAACCCACATATACACAACTAAGATGAAAATTTCAAAGAAACATATTATTTTAGATTGCCTAAACTATTATATTAAATAAATTGTAGGAGAGCCTATGATATCCTGTTACTCATGTTACATGGAAACTGTCCTTTTGTCTCCACGTTTAGTGTTTCCAAGTATATGCCAGCCTACATGTTTGGGATACCCAGATTACTTTCTCCTAAAATCCTTCAAGAGAGCATTCCCTTCCCTCGTGATATGTGTGCTGCATTTTTTTTTAAGTCATCAGTATTTGATTGAAGTATTTGATTGCTTTCTTCCCAATTAGGCCTCATTTAATTTCTAATTACAAAAACCCCCCAAAGACTTCCGAAAATTTCCCCTAACACCCTAGAAAATAATTCTAGCAAGACATTTCTATTCAAATCTGGCTTTGACTAAGAGTGGGTCCTCCAGGTGGCTGCGCTCTCACGTGAAGGCCTAGTGATGTCCACAGTCCCAGAATAGGCAGTCCTAAAACTCATCCCAGACCTGGAGGGTAGGGCTGAGCATACTGTGGGTCCTCATTGGTTTGAGACTTTACATAGGCATCGTCTGCTCATAGCTGAGGAAGGACCACTGGACCATTATTCCTTCATCCTTATCCATCATAAAATGCTATTTCTGATATTCATCTTCATCCTATTTGGAAAGGACCACCGCTCACTATCAGTTATATAATAAAATTTACATCTCTTTGTATGAATTTCCTGTGGAGCTTGGGAAGAGTCTCATACCTTAGATGAAGCTGACTGTGGTTTTCATGTAAAAAGAGGTTTTGTGTTTCCCCATGATTATTTTTTTACATTTTTATTGTGTAAGTTTTGTATTATGTATTTATTTGGAAGTAATAGCCTAATTTGAGACTATTTATATCATCTTTGAAATGTAATCAGGTCAAACTCTTTGGGTTTTCTACATAAAACAAATATACTTTCATGCCATTATGATAAAAGTCCCAGAAAGTTCTTTTGAAAAGGCAAAATGAATGATATAATTCCTACTACTAAAGCATTTTGTTTGTTTCTCAGCAACAAATAGAAAGGCAGCTAAAATGCTTGGCATTTCAAAACCCTGGACCACAGGTAGCAGACTTCAACCCAGAAACAAGGCAGCAGAAGAAGAAAGCCCGGATGTCAAAGATGAATGAATATTTTTCTGTGAAACACAAGTAAGCCCATGACTCATTCTATTTTATTAGTGGGATTATAAAATTTTCAGGGTCTCTCCTGGTATGGTGGTGCATTCCTGCAATCCCAGCAACTCTGGAGCCTGAGACAGGAGAATTACAAGTTCGAGGCTAGCCTCAGCAACTTAGCGAGGCCCTAAGCAGCTTAGTGAGAACCTGTCCAAAAATAAAAAACAAAAAGGGCTGGGGATGTGGCTCAGTGGTAAAGTGTCCTGGGTTAAATCTACAGTACCTGACGACGATGATGATGATAATAATAATAATTATTATTATTATTATTATACTAATAGAAATAAAACTCTCCATTTCTCCTTGATTTTAATTAGATTGCCTCTTCTATGATTTAAAAATATCTGAATTAAAATAGTACTCCATATTCCTGGAAGTTAGCAAATATAATCTGAAACAAGAAATCAATTAAAAATAAAAAGCCCTGTACTATAGTAATAGCTTAGTAGGAAATGTGATTAAAAGTAACAAAGATGCATCCTTAGAAGGAGAAATAATATCACCAAGAGAGTGAATTTGGAATATTAAATGGGTGCAGTATTATCATTAAGATTGCTAGTGCATCAGAAGTAGAAACTAGTTGGGTGTGTAGCTCAGCAGTAGAGAGCTTACCTAGTATTAAGGAGGCCCTTGGTTCAATCCTCACTACACACACACACACACACACACACACACACACACACATTAAGCAAACCAAAAAGAAAAATTGATAAGTTCAACTGCATTAAAATTAATAACATGGGGCTGGAGTTGTGGTAGAGCGTTTGCCAGGCATGTGTGACTGGTTTGATTCTCAGCACCATATACAAATAAATAAATTAAATAAAGGTCCATTGACAACTAAAAAAATACATATTTTTTTTAAAAATTAATAACATATACTCATTAAAAGATGCCCTTAAAACAACAAAAGAAAAATCACAAAGTGGAAAAAGTTATAAGAGATCAGAATCTAAGATATTTAAAGACTCTTAGAAGTAAATAAGATAAAGATAAACATCATAATAGAAAAATAAAGAAAATAGTGAACCAGCATTTCACAGAAGATAAAGCTAATGTGGATACTAAACCTCATCAGTACCTTCTGGAGAAGGGCCATGTATTCCAGATAGGCAGAGTTTAGTATGATGATATCAAAGTTGATGAAGCTTTGGGGCATGAATTGAATGTTAAATGGTACAACCACTATTTAAAAACATCTTGGCATTTCCTATGTGTCTTATGATTCTCATTTTCATTCCTTGGTATATATCCTGGCAAAGTCTTATTATGTATAAGGGGAGACATGTTCAAGAAGTTTCATGGCAGCAATGTAACAGCAAAAACAAAGCATAAATAATTCAAATGACATTCAGTAGTGGAAAATATAAATGACCTGTGCTATATTCATAGAGCAGGCTACATGTAGCAGTAAAAATATCTGAATAAAGCTAATCTGTACCATCATGGAAGAATCTCACATCATGGAGTAGGATAAAAAAGCAAATTATAGAAGAAATATCTCAGTATGCTTGGGGATACATCCATACATTGCTTAACTAAAAGTAAAAAAAGCACATCATCTTTATATCAAGGTGCAGTTCCTGTTGGAGTGGTCATAGAGAAATGTAATGAGTAGTACATGAGGAGGACTTCAAAGGTATAATTATCTATCCATAGAGCATGTGTGTTTTAGACACTTTTATATGTAGGGTAGTTGAGAATTTTATGAGTGATTGTATCATATGGGCAGGAAACCATAAACTCGTTTTGATTTCTGATTAAAGGCTAGGGAGTGTTAAGTTCAGGCAAAGCAAGGAAAGGACAGACACTCTCTGTTGGTTTTAGGAACACCCACTCACTATCAGTTCTTTAGTAAAATTTACATCTCTTTGTATGAATTTCCTGTGGGGCTTGGGAAGGGTCTCATACCTTAGATGAAAATCCTCTTCAGACCACCCTGCGGAAGTGTTACACCATGCAGCAAGTACCCATGCTTTATTAGGAAAGGGGGACAGGGTGGAGCTATATTACCTCACTGAAGAGGAAGAGGCCAGGTGTTTTGCCAGCTTGGAGACAAAGGGTACACAGGTACATAATTTGACCACACCAACAAAGGGCCAGCCTTTTGGACTTCAACTGCTAATAATGAATCTGAGTCGTATAGAGGTGTTTTTGTTATCTAAGGCTTTCCAATAGCTTGGTTGGAATTACATATTTCAAAATGATTTGGTTTGGAGGGGATGGTGAAATTCTCATGAAAGTCTCTGCCCCTTGGCCATGTTGCAGTTACTGACAGAAAACATGGGAATCTACAGCAGGGTGGGGACTCTGGTGGTCTTCATGGTACAGAGTACCTTGCCTTCACTCAGAACCTATGATGTGGTGTCCTATCATCTCTGTCACCTGCATTCTCCCTTCCCACTGGGTAAAAGACATCAGAAAGGAAAGAAGTGGCACCTGTAGAATGTCAGTGGCAGAGTTTTCTTATTTAAATGATTTTGACGTACTCACTGATAGTCCTCATTTTGAGTCATTAAAAAATGTAATTGCAAAAATATCAGAAAGAAGAGTATAATCTATTAGGGGAAATTCCATCAAGAATAGTTAAATTTTAAAGAAAAAATTGTAACATAGGAAGAAGTGTTAGTCAGCTTATTCCTCATAATTCTTTGAGGATTATTATGTTCCCTGGCAATGCTGGGAAAATGAAGAGTTACTCTCCATGACAAGCTGGCTGCACTGGAAATGGTTCAATCACATATTGACTGAAATTCCCATGATGTCACTGCCACCTACTGTTCTGGAGTGTTTCTGGGTCATTTCCAAGGTGCTGTTCACTCAGACTGAAAGGATTGTGTATATGAAGTCACAGCACAATAATTTATTCTCCATGTTGAGGACAATTGTACTGTCATATGAATGTCATTCTTTTCTTACAGAGTTATGAAGAAGTATGACAAAAGTGGCAGGCTAATTTGTAATGATGCCGACCTGTGTGACTGCCTAGAGAAGAACTGCCTGGGCTGCTTCTACCCCTGCCCCAAATGTAACTCCAACAAGTGTGGGCCTGAGTGCCGCTGCAACCGACGGTGGGTTTATGATGCCATTGTCACCGAATCTGGAGAGGTCATCAGCTCACTGCCATTTAATGTTCCTGACTAGGAGCTGTTGAGTTCTTGTGGACTGATTTGTTTCTTCTTTTAAGTCAACCTTTTTCTTTTGGATAAATGTTGGGGTTTGGGCAAAATGTTGGAAAAACATCCGTAAGACTAGAGTTCTCTCCAGCTGCGGAAGAGTGTTCGCCGGGCAATGATTCTATAAGCTTTGGTCTTCTCTCATTTTTTAGCTCGGAATGGAAGAATGTGACAGTGGATGGATCACAATCTCTCCCCAACACCCCCATTTCTACGCTGCCTTCAAATTAAAAATCTCTCCCTCCTTCTTCATATCTGAGAGCATACAGTTTTAAAGATTTTCAGAACTCTGTTGCTGAGAGGTTTGTCTTACACAGAACATAGAATCATAAATTCGTCATGTCTAGTTATCCTTGTAATCTTAGGCATCACTAATTCTAAATCAAAATTGGCATTTGGACTAGAAGAAAAACAGCCTCTGTGTCTTTTAACTGCGTACTCATTTTTTAAAAATTCAACAATTAAAACTAAATTTGGTAATGCTTGGTAATATTATTACACATTTGCATTTTATTTGTAAAAATTGAAAAATTAGGACTTGAATATTCTAAAAGTGGTAGTTTACATTTTTAATTCCAGAATCAGTATTTCAAGATTTTTTTTTTCAGAGAGAGGAAAGTTGAGTTCATATATGAAAAAAAAAAGTTTTTTGTATGTTTCCAAGTAGTTCACTAGGAACGTGATGTGGCCCTTTCAGTTCTGATACATCATAGTATAGGAAGCTGAATTCAACTTTCTTTGAATCCATTTTTTGACTATCTTGTTAATTCTAAGTCAGTGGTTCTCATATTTTCTGTGCATCAGAATCACCCAGAGAACTTGTTCCTCCATAGATTTTGTAGCCTCCCCACCCAGAGTTTCTGTTTCATTCAGTCTGGGACAGGGTTCAAGAATTTGCATTTGTAATAGGTCCCACATGATGTTGGTACAACTGAGATTGGGACCGCCCTTTGAGAATCACTTCTCTAAGTTATATTAGATACATGATGAAAGGAAGTATTTATATGTGTAATTTAATAAATTCTTAAAAAGAAATAAAAGCTTTTGCTTTTGTAGTGAATTTGAAATGTTATAAATAGAGTTTTCAGAATTTAATTTCCCTTCACAATTAGTTTCAAAAACACTTGTTTCTGCACTATACACATGTGCTAGCGAAGACTTCTAACAATTCTGAACTTGTTACTTCACAGTATGTTTTAGGATAAAAGTAACAAAAATCCTAAAAATCAGAACTTCTGTCCACACAGCAAGAACACTTATTCTTTGGCATTGTTCTATATGGAATTTGCTGGGTTGCCCCGATTCAGCTTACTTTTATGGAACATCTACTGTGAGCCAAACAGTGTGTTAACTGCCTCCATCACTACTTTTAAGCATACAACCTTAAGAGGAAGATAAGAGGTGAAATTACCCAAGTCACATCCTTGACTTGGTCACCAGGCACGTGCAACCTCGCCACCTGACGAAAGGGTAGGGGTCTTTTTTCAGTTGATGCATTCTTTTATTCTGAGAGTAATTAATAATTTGTAAATAGTGGAACAAATGAATTGCTTTATTGTTTATTTTAGAATTACATCATTTTAAAGCTAACAGAAACCTTGCAGATCAACTAAATAGTCACGTGGTCAACAAACATCAAGGGAGGTTGCTTTGCGTCAGGCAGCAGACTAGGTACAGAGGATAGAACAGTGAGTGGAATCCACCAGTCTTCATGAAGTTTGTGGATTCAATCAAACTCTTCTTATTTTTGTTGCCTTTTTTTTTTTTAAACTTTTTACAACTGAGGACATTTAGACCTACTCAGATATAATGAGGTGGGTGAGGACACAGAGGAGCTGGCAACCTGGAGTTTTGAACATTAATAAGAGTAGACCACTATTCTTTTCATGATACTACAGATTTCCCAAATGGCCTCATCCTAAAATGTTTCTAGGTTCTTTTCATAATATACAGTCTTGAGTCCCCCTGTAAGTCTCAGGAATCAGAACCTCCAGGACTATTTTTAAACATGCATCCTTGGTAAGTCTCATGATCAGAACACTTGGGGAAACGCTGTTTTATATCATCAGTCACCTTTTTTCATAATAAAAATAATCCTAGGCAAACTAGCATTAAAGTCTTCTTCCCGTTTGTCCCCTCTTATCATTCAGTCTTAAGCATTAATCTGGCTTAAAATGATCTGGTTTGAAAAAGTATATTGGCAAATTAGGTTGGTAAAGCAAAAAATAAAGTAAAAAAATGCATAACTACTAAGCAGACATCTCATGATACTTGTGTGGAAACCTAGCAAGACATTGATGAGGTGCATTTTTATAAATCAGATTTATTTCATCTTGATCTAATGCTAATTCAGTGCATTTTAAAAAGGCCTCCTGCACTAAATGATTATTACAAAAATAAATTTATTTGAATTGTCAGAAACTTGCTTTGCGAGTGTCTAATTTTTATCACAGAGTGAATAAAGCTCTTTAGTTATTTGAACTAAATTCAGATTAACAAGAAGTGCAGCTGTACTATCTGATTACATTAACCAAGGAAATTGTCTTGTTAGTGTAATAGGATTTTTCTCTTTTCTGCTTGGCTATCTTTCAGTGCTGACAGTGTGTCTTCATGAATATGTATAGAAATTGTAAGGAAAGCAATTTTACAGAAGGTCATTTAAATATAAACTGATGCACACTGAAGGATTTAGACAAGTCACCCTGAGCGCATTTATGCAATGCCATATCACATCAATTTGCATGACAACTTTGCATCTAATTTGGAAGACTTTCCATATAGGGTCTAAAACAATCCTTTATGCTGCCCCCCTTCTAGTGTCTACCCTCCATTATAACCATCTAGATCCATTGCATATATAGACCTTGGGATGTTTGATCACAGAAAAATCATTTAACTTTTTCCTTTATAGACTGCTTTGCTTTTCTGGAAAGTGAATGATGCCTACTTTGGAAACTTTTGAACATGTACATCAGCAAGGCTTCAGTGTTTTGGCCATGCAGGCTGTGTTCTAGTTAAGTGGAGGGTGCCTTTTACATTGATTGCAAGGCCAATGATGTCTCCCAGAGGTGTGCAGCAAAGTGGCTCTGCAAGCGGGTACCATTTGGCATGTGGATTTCTTGATGGTCCAGTAGCTGTTGACACTTACTATATGCTAAGCATTGTGTGCTTTAAATTAACTCATATTCTTGTATAACATAATTTTTAAAATCCTCACTTCTCTCTTTCTCATCTACTTTCTTTCATGCTGCATGAGATCATAAATATATATATATATATATATACACACACATATATATATAATGAACATATATATATATTTATTTATGATCTAGGTTAAGAAACTTTCATAATTTTTTCTTTTTCCAAATTTATATTTTAATCCAGATATACAAAACTCTTTTTCATATTTTCAGATTTCCTAAAATTCTGTTTTTTTCCACAGTATTTTTCTTTACTCTGTGGAAGGGAGATGACTCTCTTGTCATCACTGTCCATGTCTGACAACAGTGTTTACTACTTAGACTCATACCCAATGTGAAAAAATTTTCTATTTTGTGCTTACAGTTTATAAAGGCAGATTATTTCCCTCCTCCCTATTGTATGGCTGCCTATGTGTACTTTATAAATGGGCCAAATCTTAGGTCAGATATAATAAATTCAGAGATATCAGTGACTGACTTTAAATGTTTTTCCTTAATAGTGCATCAAATAGCCTTTACATAAAATATGAATAGATATTCTACATGGTGACTTTCCATTCATTTATTCATTAATTGATCAAGTACCACCTATATGCCAGGCACTTCACTATACTAGTAATATAATGGATTAGGGGAGGGGAACACCCTCAGACATGGTGTCCTTATGGACCTGACAGAGAGTAGAGGAGAGAGAGAGAAAATAACCAAGTGATCACATAAACTAATGTGAGAAGAGGGAGAGGTGGTATAGCTTTCAGGCAAATCTTTACACAGAAGTCTTCCCTGAGGGAGCCATCACAGGTATGGGGTCGAATGGTGAGAATTACACATAAGGAGAGTTTTCTGATAAAGACCATGTATAGGGATCTGTGGCAGGAAATGTTAAGAGCATGTTCTGGACACCGGAAGAAGCCAAGTGGGAGGGGAGCATTTAGAAGCCTCTGCAGAACAGACAGTGGTCATATCGTGTCTGGCGTTTGAATCGCATTGAAGAATTTCTTCTGTGACCAAAAAACAACAGGAAACCATTGAAGCACCTTAAGCAATGGAGTGGGTGATATGATCATCCTTGCATTTTTAAAAGACAACTCTTGCTACAGTGAGAAAGACAGATGGGAGGACTTTGTCATGGAAGAGAGATGAGGGGTGAGGAACACAGAGGAGCCATAGATGGCTCCAGGATTTCATGATTGAATAGATGAGGTGGCCATCTGAGCTAGAGGACACTGGAAAAGGACTGATATTGAGGAATGTTCACGAAGGCAATTGCTGGGTCAGATGGTAGTTGTATGTTTGTTTTGTAAGAAGCTGTCAAAATGTTTTCCAGAATGGCTGTATCGTTTCGTATTTCCACCAGCAATGTATGAGGGATCCAATTTTCCCACATCCTGGTCAGCATTTGGAGTTCTTACTATTTTTTTAAACTGTTCTGATAGGTGTGCAGTGATATCTCATGGTGGCATTAATTTGCATTTGCTTAATGGCTAATAACATGGAACATCTTTTTCATGTATTTATTTCCTATCTGTATGTCATTCTCAGTGAAATGTTTGTTAGTGTCGTTAGTTCAATTTCTAACTGTATTATTTGATTTTTTTTTTGTTGTGATCTAAGAGTTTTATATATATTCTGGCAATGAGTTCTTTGTCAGATATGTGGTTTGCAAATGTTTTCTCTCAGTCTGTAAGGTGTTTTTCATTCTTCTAATTTCTTCTCAAAGTTTCCATTTGATGAAGTCCAATTGATAAACTTTTGTCATTTATGGATTGTGCTTTTGGAACTCTGATCCAATCCCTTTTTCCCTTGTATTAGTTTCTTTTTCTTTTTCTTTTCTTTTCTTTTCTTTCTTTTTCTTTTTTTTTTTTTTTTTGGTACCAAGGATTGAACTCAAGGGCACTCGGCCACTGAGCCACATCTCCAGCCCTATTTTGTATTTTATTTAGGGCCAGGGTCTCACTGAATTGCTTAGCACCTCGCTTTTGCTGAAGCTGGCTTTAAACTTGTGATCCTGCTGTCTCAGCCTCCTGAGCCACTGGGTTTACAGGCATATGCCACTGTGCCCAACCTTTGTATTATTTTCTAAGAGTTTGATGTGATTCATTTTGAGTTTTATAGAAGATGTGCAATGTGAGATTTCAGTCAAGTTTTTTTTTTTTTTTTTTTTGGTCTAGGAATACCCAATTGTTTCAGCACCAGCTGTTGAAAAGACTATTTTTCTTCCATTGAACTAGTTTTATTTTTTTTTCCAAACATCAGTTGTCCATACTTTGTAGTGCTATCTCTATTTGGGGG